GATAACTTTGGCCCCCGACGATCAAGAGCTTCTGCTAAGCTACGACAAGTGATATCCCTGGATTGTGTGGCCAGGGATTACAAGAACTCTCAACCCAAGCAAAAACCCCTGCGATCGGACGCAGTATACAACGAAAAGGACAAGGCACAAGATCGAGACGGCTCAAGTGGTCAGAAGATCAAGTGCAATCAAGTGGATCAAGTATATACATTTGGATAAGGCGGTCTCAAGGCAGACCAGGGTGACTCATAGAGCACCCCTCATACAACTTTCGATCGCGTGAGGATTTTCCACGTGATCGACCCCCCGACCAATCCCCAATCACGGTCAAGCTCAGCATCGACTCAAGTCCACCGAGAAGAGTGCAGCCCGCCCTACCGACGGGTACACAAGGTGAGGAAGGAATGTTACACGGATACGGGGTACCCCCTCCGTTAGTCGGTCGTCTGGGCGCCAGTGGAGAGTCGGGATCACATCAGAAGTTTTGTGATCGCCACTCCAACACATCATCCTCGTTGAATGTGAATCCATCCATAAACATCACATTCACGAGGGTGGGTGACATTGATGTGCCACACCCCAAGTGGCAAGCCTAAGGTACCTCGTACCCATTTAGGCCTGCCCGTTAAGTATTCGATACTTGACTAACCGTGTAACTTTTTAGCTCTTTACACTTGTAAACTGCACTTACAATCCCACTCGTTCCGGATGCCGTTGTTGCACTACGTCGGCCACTCAAATTATAATTAATTTGGTTCAGATATAGATGTTTGTTTACCACAAGGTCATATTGAAGCCCCTACAACAGCTTCTGGGTAACCTTAACACCATCTTTTCGATTGATTTCACCTTTCTAAGAGGAGAAGCTATACTTGATTTTTAAGAAGACTGGTCAGATGTATGTCAATGACGCACTTCCGGCTGTGGTAGTCCCCGACGCAGTGCGTCATTGGTAGTAGCATTGGCACGTGCAGCTTCCGGTTTTCGCCACCTTTTGTGCTTATGGCATATTGAAAAGAATGTTCTTGCTAATAGATTGGCGCATTTCAAGAAACCGATCTCCATGAGACACATGGAGATCGGTTTTTTGAAATGCGCCAATCTGCAGCTGTGGACAGGCTCGCAGACGTAGCGAGTTTCAATAGCGCAGAGATCACATTTTTTATCGAGTTGTCAGATTGTCGGTAAAGTGCACGTATCTCAGTAACACATAGCTTGTGCACAAACAACGTTTTGGCGCAGTATGGAATAGCGACTGCAAACATCTCGGTAATACAGCAACATCGACGGCAAAGGGTGCTCATGCATTACTCATTCGAAATTTGCAGGTCACCACGCTTTTATTGTCTCCACCTTATCATACCTTTTGTTTAAATCGTCACAAGCAAACCACACCAAACCAAACCAAACCAAACCAAACCAAACCAAACCGTACCACACCCGCCTCACCATATCGACAGCTCATTCACTGAAGTTAGAACCATATAGCCTGATCCAACGTGAAGTTAATGACTTATAAGACAACATCCGAAAGGTCATCCTACTGTTTTTGTCGTTGTAGTTGTGGCCATGCGTCAAGAAGGAGGTCAAGCAAACCCCGCCATTGACGAACCAAGGACGCGTCATAGTCGCGGCATAGCAGCTTAACGTATAATGGCGGGAAAGGCCCGTTTTTCAACAGCTATGGGACTTGCAATTGGTTTGTGGTAGGGGCCGGACGAAACAATCGTGACTCCGGCTCAGGCTTAACCACGAGCACCGCCTTTTGGAGCACCGCCTTTTGGAGCACCGCCTTTTGGAGCACCGCCTTGTCGAGCACGCTCGCCAGGACCGAAATTTAGCAAAAGCTGGGCGAACAGCTTGCCCCGACCACAGACCAACAAGACCAGTTGACCGCGTGGATCCGTGCTCGCTCGACGGCTTTACTAGACCGAGTCACCAGCTGGTGGGATGGGGACAAATTGGTGTTGTCGTTTATTGACTCTTTATGGGGGCCGGGTTGACCCGGAGGTATTGGTTTCCGCATGACAAATTCTGCTGGCCCCGTACGCAAGATGTGAAGGTGTTCGAGGGTGCAGTCCTCAATCCTGTTATACTTGTTTTGGAAAGCATGTTGCCGCTCTGGTCCTTAATCCATGGGTTCGCACTCCATTTGAAGATGGCCCAGAACCTCTAAATTTCTTCCAGCATATCATCATACCCCAGTAGGTGTGTGGGGATTCGGACGCGAAACTCCGACGGTGGGCAACAGCCCTCCTATAATCAAGCCCCGGACTTACCCATCGCCCGTCGGAACAAAACGCACTCGACAGGCACCACAGAGTTTGGGTAGCTATCGCTGGAGAATTCTCGGTGAAGGCATAATCGTAGGTCACTTAACGGAGATCGAACATGGCTAAACCCGCCCCGTCACTCTGCACCAAGCTAATGATGGGATACACTGTTTTTTTCATGGATTACTGCTGGAGCTCACTGACGGTTCGCCATCTGACCGACAGGCGATTGGTCGCGCTATTCGAAGAGGGGGTCTCGTGTTCCAGACGCACCCGCAGCTTCATCGGTTCCATTGATCTGTTTCGGACACAACGTCGAATCACTCCATCACGAAAGCCTTAGGCAAGCAAGCCTTCCGGTTCCACATAAAAGTTCTCGCCCGTCAACTTTCGGTTCTCGTTGATTGTCTTTCACAATCGGCAACGACGGATGAATGATAAAGCGCAGCGCTTTGGCAAACGCCGACGCAAGTGTGGGATCATAGTACTGGTCTCACTCCATATCAAGTCTGGACAGGGTACCGGGTGGCGACAAGACAATTAAATCTGTATCACGCCGAGAGAAACGAACACAATAGTTGCAAAAAGGCGCCGGATTGCAGCGGCAGGAAAGAGACCATTGTCCATCTGTTTTGAGAATGTGATTGCGCTGCAGCGCTTTGATAAAAACTCATTGGTCACTGGACCGGGCAAATTGTCACCCGCCAATTGACCCAAAACTGTCTGGGAGCCTGTGCCAGTCGACGAGTTGACAGCATACCCGAGTACCGCACAAAAATCCTAGCGGACCGATTTCAAAATGACGCCAATGAAGCCGAACGCGTCTGGACACAAATTTGGCATGTCCTCGCAACGATATGCCAAACACGAATTTGGATAGACTGGAATGCAGCCGTCTTCGAGGCTGTCGCACTCCACATTCCCAGTAGCATCGCCAGTTTTGGGGCCTCGTGCCTTTGTGAGCTCCGAGCAATCACAAAGAGAGAGCATCGAAAAATTGCGTCAGCCACACGTGGTGCCTTGCTTTATGCTTGCATTGAATTGCTTGAGCGTGACCCTAGAGGGCCACCGAGTTCTACGGTGGCCAGCCACGATATACCGTCGGGCCATCCGGCGCTGATATCCTGGCTCAAAACTTTCCAGAGCTCTTGCACAAAGTTAACATCGTGTAGATAGACAATCTGAACCTCTCTCTCTTTCAATTGGTTTGTGGCCGGCGTGAACATTATCGGACCAAACGCACACCGGAAACAAATTTGCTCAAAATCAACGTGAATGACATAGTCCGCAATCTGCTGTCATTTTGCAGCAGAACGAATGGCCGGGCAAAAGTCTTTGCTGCAATTATCATGTGTTGCGGCGCGGTGAATTAGTTGGCGTAGGCAGCTGGCGACTCAATGTGTTCGATTTCTTGCGCTCGTTTCTTCCTAGGTAAAAGACACAATCTCGACAAAGTCCTGATGAGAATCAGAGGTCGACCGGTGAACCTGGCTCCTGCAGTTGCTGAGGTAAAATTCCTTATTATTGCGAAGATGGTTGGCCATACTAATTCGCACTGTTACCCGTGCATCCTCCTTCCCAAACAACGCCAGAGCCACAGCACGGAAGCCGCAGTTTCCGTCACCAGGCACGTCCGCCACGTCTTCTCCTGCGCTGAAACTTAGGATGCTCGGCGGCTTGGCGGGTTGCTTTCCCTTCTCTTTGTCACGTCTTCTCCTCCTCCAGGAACATCTTCTCTTTCTCGTTTAGATTCTGCGGGCATGAGTGTTTGTTATCGTTGGGCTTGCCATATAATCTGAAATGCCAGCGACAATTTGTGGCATGCTCAAATCTGGATGGATCTCGACGACATCTGACTAGTCAGCAACTTTTCTATCATCGCGCAAGCGATCGCGCGTTTGGCTGTGGGTCCATGCATGATATGGATGTCTTCTGCAGCCAATCCAATGCTCGGCTCAGCTCCGTGACGCAAGCCTGGCCGTCTTCTCTCTGCTGTTGAAATTGCAGGTGTCAATGCTGTGCAATGCAACCAAGATCGATTGGTATGTTTCCGTGCAATTTGTCTATGTCATGAGCACAGGGCAGGCTCAGCGTTGTGCAGAATACCCCGCTGCTTTCGACGCTGCTGACCTTCACATCACGCTGGAAAATCGATCAATCGCAATGCGTGCTGTGAAAATGGCGCCTCTTCAAATCGACACATGCCGGCATTTTTCGCATATATAATGCAGCATTCCGGTCAATTGCGTCTTAACAGCAGTGCATCTTTCATTTGATGCGCCAAAAGCTCTTTGACGCTGTGCAGGCCGGTAGAATTAACAACTGTCTAATTTTATACCTTGAGGGAATTTTATAAACGGCGAAAAACTGATCAAATACGTCATGTATATTAAATGCTAGAGACTTTTCAGCAAAAAATCGTGTAGTCGTACTTAATCGAAATCACGCGGACATTCTCTTGATCAAAGAAGCCAAAGCCACATAAAAGCTTTAGGCCTCCGTAGCGTCACTTTTACAAGTCTTACGTGTCGCCTCTGCGTGTGCATAACGACGCGATCTGCTGCATAGAACTAGCTCAAGGGTCACGTCCGAAACTGCAGTAAAAAAGCGTGAATTTGACGCTAAAATATGTATGACCTTTACTCTGTTTCTTGCTCTTATTCTCACACCTTTACATTTAAAGAGCACGTAACTTATTTCCGAATTTTGTTTTAACGTAAAAACAGCATGTTTGGACGTTTTTTCAAGAACAAGGAAGACGGCAAGGGCGGTCCCCCTGTCCATCAACGCCAGGGCGGCCCAAACGGTAGCGCTGATGAGCATCCCGTCGGTGGAGGCTTTTTTAACCTCCCGCCTCCAGCTTCCAAGCCTTATGGCGGTCAAAATGCTGCCGGATTAAGTGTCCCCAGTACCTCTGTGTGTGGAGAAGGTCCCTCTCTAGGAGGAGGGTATCCACCACAACCAGCCTATGGCAGTGCTAATGCTCCAGTGGACAATAATTCTATAAATGGAGAAGGTCCATCAGGTGGTGGCATGGACATGTTTGGTGGCATGTCAGTAAAAGCTCCTCCTGCTGCTACTGGCAACAATGGAAAGGGAAGATATAAGTCTCCAATTCAGCAGCAACAGTATGGAGGTGGTTATGCTGGAACTCCGCAGCCAATTGCTACTACTATGCAGCCTCCCAAGGCAAATGGCAGTTTATTTAGTGGTCTAGAAGTTGCTACGGTACCTGCAGCTCATGATGATGGAAGTAATCAAACGATGTTGACGTACGCTTCCGAGCAACGAAGATCGAGCAAAAGCTCAGGATCATTCAATTATCTGGATGTAGCAGGATCTAAAACTACGGATACGTTAAATACATCAGAATACTCTCGAACGAGTGTAACGAGCAGTACTGGCACGACAACGTCGCGGTCGAGCTCGAAGGGTGTAAAGAAAAAAAGAAGAAAACGTTTCGCCCGGGTTTTGGACGACAGCTTTCGGATGAATCGGCGGCAGCACTGCAGCGCGGTGACTTGAAGGAAGATGATATCATTTATCAGCGGGAAGGACGTTTAATGTCAGATCGATCGGATAGCTCGCGAAGTTCGCGCAGTGTCCCAGGCCCCACGGATTTAGCTCATTTGTTACCTCCGGTAAAATCTGGGTCAGTTTTGCAAGGGCTAACGGTTCATAAGGGAAGCGTACCTTCCGGCGGTGGTGGTGTTCTCGCTGGTCTTACTGTTCACAAGTCGGCCTCACCCTCGCCTTCGCCAGCGAAGGTTGTGAGACGTGCTGAATCGGATTCAGATGGAAATGGTGTGCTATCGGGGCTGAGTATTCACATGGCGCCAAGTATCACTGATGACGATGTATATGAATCCGTGAATGATACTCCCGTGACAACACCTGCCCCCGAGATGTACAAAGAGCCGTATTCTCTAGTGCCAGCAGCCCCTCCTACTCCGGAGGAGCGTCTGTTTAATACTTTGCGTGACTTTCATGAGAGTGCTGTCAGTTTTCGCCAGTTCACGGTAAAACAAAATGAGGAGGAGAATCGGTTGATGGAACGCAAGGCGCAACTCGCATACCAGTTGACGCAGTACGAAATGGATTTGCGTGACGTTGAGGCGCAGCAGCACCACGCATGCGAAGTCGAAGATTTCGAGAAAGCTGATGCGCTGAATGCTACTATTAACAGCGTGCGGCATTGCATCACGCTGACTGAAAGCGACGTCCGAAAATTGGACAGCGAGCTTGTAGCCTTTGTGAAGACAAAGGAGAAAGCGTTTGCGAACCAGCTGAGAAGCACACGCGGTACTCTACGCGAGCTTGAAAAGTTTCGTGAGGACCAGGAATCCGAGCGGACGGTCGCGCGCAATGAGTACAAATTATACGAGGCGAATCAAACAGAGCAGCTGCAGTTTGAAGCTGAACGAATTGATGCCGAAATGCATCACGTGTCCGTAAGCCTGGAAAATGTCATTTCTGAAAAGTCGGAAATTGAGGCAACTATTGAGGGTCAATGCAGCTCTGAGTTTGCTGTTCAGGCGCAATTGATTGAGGAAAAGCAGGCTGTAGAAGAAGAAGTCCGCGAGCTCGAGCGTAGATTAAAGGAAAAGCAGGATCGGATTCGAAAAATCCAGACGTCAATCGACACTGCTCAACGTGATATTAACACTGTTCGCAAACGGTATTCTCGCCAGCTAAAGCGCATTGCTGATCGCGAGGACGGAATTAAAAAAACTAAGGCTGAAGTAGAATCAGACGGCAAGCATCTTGAGCAGCAGCGCCATGAGTTTGAAGACAAACTGAAACGATATGTGGAAGACATTTCAATTATCGGCAAGCGTATCGGCGCTGTAAAGAAGGAAATGCGTGCTGCGTCGCTGCTGGCGAACGTGTTAGAAGCGCAAGAGACACGCCGCGAGCAGTCCCTGATTCGCAAAAAGCAACAAACAGCGGAGCTTAGTTCGCTCAACGATGCCACGGCGGTTGCTGAACAAAGCTTTACGATGCTGAGCAAGCAGCATGAAGAGCTTGAGAAATCTCTGTCGATTCATCGGAATGCCATTGCGTCGGCAGAAGCAATGATTCCCCGTTTGGAGCAGGAAAAGAAGACAGCTGCTGCGCAGCGTAACTTTAAGGAAGCAGCTCGCATTTCCAAGGATATTAAAGCACTGGAAAAGGATCGCTCAACAGCTGAGGAGATGGTAGAAGTAGTCGAATTGGAACTCCAAGACTTGGAGGAGCGTATCCATAAGCGTGATGTGGAGTTTAAGGAGAAGAAGAAGGAGTTAAAGGAGATGGAAAAGCACCTGGACCTAGCTACATTGCAAGAGTTGTGGAAAGAGGCAAAGCATTTGCGAACAGCTTTGCGGAAGATTAAGAAATGCAAGAGTGAGGGAGACGCTGCAAATGGTGGCATCAATTTTCGGTCATCTGCAATACTTTTGGTCCAGGCCGAGTACGATGCGTGTATTCTTCAAGTTGGGACACTTGAAAAGAAGTATGACGTAGTCGGTCCCATTGAGGATGAAGAAGACGAGGATGATGATGATGACGATGAATCAATTGATGACGAGAAGGAAAGCAGGGAGGATGTGTCACTTTCGCGCTCTAGTTTGGCTGGAAAGACGACTGACATGGAAGGATCGAATGTTGACATTGATGCTACTGAGGATAGTAGTTCCGTTTTAGAGGAGATTACTGCACAACTACTCGAGCTCGAGTCTCAGATTGAAAAGGCAACGGACAGTGAGGAGTACGAGTTGGCCGCTAGGATCGACGAGAGGATTGAAACCTTGAAGCAGCGACAACAGACAATCGAAGCTTCGATGCCACAGGAAGCTTTCGATGATGTGCGTGAGAATGAGTCCTCGGAGGATGCTGTGGAAGAATCAAATAGCAGCGAGTACTTTGCTGAGGAAGAAGCTGAAGCTGATGAGGAGTACGCTCACGAAGAAATGGTTAGTCCTGTGAATGTAGGGCGAAGACATAATGAGCTGACGCAGTCCTTGAGAAAAAGAATTCAGCTGGGTGTTGTGATGCCTGTAGAACAGACAAACAAGGGCTATGATACCGCCACAAGCTACGATGAGGAACTGCAGCCATTGCAAGAAAAGGAGAAGCCTATTCGTGCTCAAGATGACCTTTCTGTCGAAAGTAGTGGTGTGACGGCGCCTACCATGTTTGAAGGACCGGACTCTGAAACTAAAAACTTCATTTCTATCGAGGCTGCGGTAAGCGGTGGTTCGCTAAGCTCGCCTCAGGAGGCATTTGTTGAGTCAACGACGAGTGGATCTCTTTTTAAGAGGCTACCGATGAGTAGCGGTCCAGACGTCATATCTCAGAGCTTAATGGAGGTCCCGACAACGGATCCGGACCTTAAAATGGAGGATGAAGCTCATGAACACGAAGAAGTTGCGGCTATCGCAAAATTTGAAATTGTTTCCCCTACGTCCTCCGAGATGAATGATTCTTTCTTTGGCAAGTCTGAGATGCTAAAAAATAGCGCCAGTCTGGTTACGCCATCAGCATCGGGATCCTTGTTTGAAGCTCTGCATATGAGTGGCAGCTTTCAGGTTGACACGGCCTCTTTTGCTTCACCTGGGAAGGATACAGAAGAGAGCAAGGAAGACCCTGATGTACCTGCTACCGAAATCGTGGACTTAAGTGCGTCTACTTCAGTCGGCAATGGAAGCATGTTTAGCGGACTGCATCTGAGCTCAAGTGCCGTCAACGTAGGAGCAGGTGCCCGAACGGAGCCTACTGCTGTCTCCAACGAAAACTCTGCTGACATGTTTAGCGGCTTGAATTTGTCCAGTAGCTCAGTTGGCGCTGCCTCATCAGAGCACGCGTCGACGGACGCTTCTACCAATATATTCGGCGGCCTGGAGTTATCCAGCAGTGCAGCTGGCGCCTCGACCGAGACTTCTGCCGACATGCTCGGTAGTCTAAGTTTGAGCAGCAGTGCCGTTGCAGCTGCACCAATTGAGACTGACACGGATGTAGCAGCGTCATCTATGGGTGAAACTGATTCTTCTGCAAAGAGCGTGGGCGATGCTCGAATGTCGATTCACAAGCTGGTAGTGCTCAGCGAAAATAACGATGTGGCTGGGGCTAATCACGACGCTTCGTTCGAGTCGGACGTCCCCAGTGTGACATCAGTAAGTATGCTGAGCGAGAAATCCGGCACAGAGACAACAAATTTGTCTACGACGACAGTCGCCAAGGTGTTGGGTGATGACGACACGACACTAACGGAAACGGAGCAGATCACGACGGAATCGGAGCAGGTCACGACGGAAACGAAGCAGGTCTGCGACGGAAACGGAGCAGGTCGCGACGGAATCGTAATTGTGTTTGTATTTACACGTTGCTGTCGCATCTCATTGTGGGACCGGATGCAAGCATTTTAGCGACAAGCAGTGCGTGGTGTAGGGGGGACGTCTGAGCGCAGAAGAAGCCGCCAGTTGTACTTTTCTGCTTGTTCATGGAGAGTTGAGCAAATATAAAGGAAGAGAACAAGCTTGAAAGTGGCAAGAGCTGATAGCTACATAGTTGTAGTGAAAGGCGTTGAGTCATAGACTCATACAGTATTGTCCTTTAATATTGTCGGTATCGTACTGACCAGCCGACCAAGCCATCCAAATACATTATGGAGGTTATTATTTTACGGAGGATTATTTTAGGCAGGTTCTATTGTAACGGTAGTCGAATGTGCTACACGTTTCATCTTGCAACTTAACCCCTTATTTTTTTTTACAATTTTTCAAATCTCAATTTCTTAATGTTCGTAAACAAAGGGATCATCGATCGTATCTTCTAGAACAGTCTGTTGTCATTATTTTCTTAGTGCCTTCGACACTTCTTCGGACACACCTTCCACTCAATTGTCTCCTCGCAGCTCCACCATCCACAAAATCCCAGTCATTTTTCAATATACTCTCCATCCTCATAATCAATCATGAACCCAACTCTTGCTGTTGCTGTGAAGAAAGCTTCTCGATTGTCACCTATGACAACTCGTCGTCTCTTTTCATCCGGTAAAGACATTCGTTTTGGTGTGGAAGGACGTGCTGCAATGCTAAAAGGTGCTGATCAATTGGCCAATGCTGTTCAAGTGACACTTGGTCCAAAAGGTCGTAACGTAGTCATTGATCAGTCTTATGGGGCTCCTAAGATTACAAAAGACGGTGTTACTGTCGCTCGTAGTGTCGACTTTGCTGACAAGTTTGAAAACATGGGGGCACAGCTTGTCCGTTCTGTTGCAAGCAGTACAAATGATGCAGCAGGTGATGGCACAACAACAGCTACAGTCCTTACTCGTGCCATTTTTAGTGAAGGTTGCAAGTCTGTAGCTGCTGGAATGAACCCAACGGACTTACGTCGTGGGATTCAAATGGCTGTGGACCACGTCGTTGACGGACTACAAAAACTGTCCATGGATGTGCAAGACAAGGAAAAAGTTGCTCAAGTGGCAACGATTTCGGCTAATTCCGAAACGGAAATTGGGTCTCTTATTAGTGATGCAATGGAACGAGTGGGGAAAGAAGGGGTGATTACAGTCCAAGATGGCAAGACGTTGTACAATGAATTGGAAGTTGTGGAAGGCATGAAATTTGATCGGGGGTTTATTTCGCCTTATTTTGTCACGGACAATAAGACGCAATCCTGTGAAATGGAAAACCCATACATTCTTTTAGTGGAAAAGAAAATATCAAGTCTTCAGTCGATTATTCCCATGTTGGAAACAGTTGTAAAGCAGCAACGTCCACTGCTTATTATTGCCGAAGATGTTGAAAGTGAAGCACTGGCTGCTCTTGTGATCAATAAGATCCGTGGTGGTGTCAAAGTGTGTGCTGTCAAGGCCCCTGGCTTTGGTGATAACCGCAAAGCCAGTCTACAGGACATGGCTGTACTTACTGGTGCTACTGTTATCTCGGAAGATCTTGGTCATCGTCTGGAGACTGCTACTCCTGAGATGCTTGGTAGTGCCAAGAAGGTGACTATTACCAAGGATGACACGTTGATGCTTGATGGTGCAGGCTCAGCTGATGCTGTCGAGGAACGTGGCAATTTGCTGCGTGACTCGATTGAGAACACGACATCGGACTATGAGAAGGAAAAGTTGCAGGAACGTCTGGCGAAGCTGAGTGGTGGTGTTGCTGTTATCAAGGTTGGTGGTGCTAGTGAGGTCGAGGTCGGGGAAAAGAAGGACCGTGTCGTGGATGCACTGAACGCCACTCGTGCCGCTGTAGCGGAAGGCATTGTGCCTGGTGGTGGTGCTGCTCTTCTGTGGGCGTCACGTTCGCTCACTTCACTGTATGATTCATGCGCCAACTTGGACCAGAAGGTGGGTGTGGAGATTATTGAGCGCGCTTGCCGTGCCCCAGCTACGCAGATCGCCAAGAACGCCGGCCACGAAGGTGCCGTCGTTGTAGGCAAATTGCTAGAGAACGACTTGCCCGAGCTCGGCTTTAATGCCCAGACCGGTGAGTACGTGAACCTGGTGGACGCCGGTATCATTGACCCGACCAAGGTGGTGCGCACGGGACTTGTGGACGCTTCGAGCGTCGCGTCGCTTATGATGACTGCTGAGGCTCTTATCGCTGACCTGCCGGAAGAGGCTGGCGCAGCTCCCCCGATGGGCGGCATGGGTGGCATGGGCGGTATGGGTGGTATGGGTGGCATGATGTAAGACCAGGTAGCCACATTCCCCGTGACATTTTGCAGAGCTATTGCGACTGAACGTAGAGACTTTGTGAATCATTTGACCGTCTTTACTAATCACAATTTTGCGTCCCAAAAAGAGCGTAAAAACAAACAAAAAAGAGTACTATTGCGTTCGTAAAAAAACGCTGGGGTTTTTTTCGTCGACTAATTACTGTAGTAAAAAACCCAGTCTTGATTTTTCATACATTTTCCATGTCCCAAAAAGAAAAAACGTATCCACTCCCTTCTCATTCCTCAATTGTTATTGTATTCCTCACGTCTTCTTCCAATTTTAATATGACGATAAATGACTCTTCTTCAACTATACGACACCGTACATCCCATCTAGTTTTATCATCCTCTACAAATGCATTAAAAGCCACGGACAAATCGTTAGCACCCACGAAAGACGAGAATTTCCAAGCGATAAAACCATTTCAAGAAAATGATCGATCTCTGAATCATACCAACAGTTGGCACGCTCAAGCTGCTGCTCATTTAATGAAGAAACGCATTTATTCGATATTAGCAGGTGTCATTATTGGTGTCGTTGCTGTCATTAGTTTTCAAAGTTATTACCTTGAAACCCCTTTAATTACTGAAGATTCTTTGCTTCGAGTTCGAGGCATGTTTGATACTTTTAATTGGTCCGTAAACGTCCGAGACGAGCTTTTAGCGGCTTTTGAACACCGTCCGACTCTTCTTGGAGCAGTGGAAAAACGTCCAGGGTTACAAATGTACCAAGAAGAAAATATCACGGCGGACTCGCCGGTCATTTTGCTGCCTGGTTTTACGTCGACAGGACTGGAAATCTGGAATGGAAGTGAATGTAGCAAAGCTTACTTTCGACAACGAATGTGGGGTACATCCAGGATGTTGCAACAATTTATGATGAACCAGAAATGCTGGTTGGAGCATATGATGCTCAACCGCTCGTCTGGAATGGATCCAGATGGGATCAAGCTGCGTGCAGCAAAAGGTCTTGAAGCAGCCGATTTTTTAATTGGTGGGTACTGGGTCTGGGGCAAAATGGTGGAAAATCTGGCCGAGATTGGATATGATAGCAATCACTTGTACATGGCGGCGTACGATTGGAGACTCATGCCACATTTGTTGGAAAAACGGGATGGATATTTCACCAAACTTAAATATACGATTGAAATGGCTCGTTTGTCGTCAGGAGGACGCAAAGTAATGCTGGTTACGCACTCGTATGCCCAACAAGTCTTTTTGTACTTTTTGAAATGGGTAGAGAGTGATAATGGCGGCAAGGGGGGAGACCAGTGGGTGGAAAATAATGTTGAAGCATTTGTGAATATTGCTGGACCGACCTTGGGTACAGTGAAGACGATTAGTGCGTTGATGTCGGGAGAGATGAAGGATACGGCAGAGTTGGGCGGATTGTCCAAGTTTCTCGGTTACTTTTTTAGTGTGTCGGCGCGTACGCAATTAGCACGGTCGTGGTCGAGTGTCTTCACGATGCTACCCATTGGTGGGAATCGCATCTGGGGCACTGCCGACTCGGCACCTGATGATGTGGTTGCAGCTTCGCCGTTGTTGACTGGAAAGAACTCGACGGTGGACTCAAAGAAAGTGAAGGAACATGTTAAGCGCTTTGGTTCACATGGGCAGATCATTCGCTTCGTTAATGCCACGCACGAGAACATCACTGCCGGAGATGTGCATGAGTTGCTTGGCACATTAGACCCGTACCTCGACACCTTCAGCTCGTGGTTTAGTACTGGAATTGCCGAAGACCCGTCACTTCCCGAATACGACCAGTCAAAATACTGGGCAAACCCGTTGGAAACTACTTTGCCAAAGGCACCGAGCTTGAAAGTGTTCTGCTTTTATGGTGTGGGCAAGCCTGTAGAACGAGGATACACCTACGGAGGAAACCCGCCACAAGATGTTAACGTGACTGTGAACGGTAAGCGTGTGGCTCCCTACGTGTTCAACACCGAGATTCATGACCTGCCTTACGTCAAGGATGGTATACGATACAGTGACGGAGATGGCACTGTGCCTCTTATCTCTTTGGGACTCATGTGTGCAAGTGGCTGGCAGACCCAGAAGTATAACCCTGGAGGAGTTGACGTCCGTGTACGTGAGTACAGTCACAATCCCGTGTCAATGTTGTTTGATGCCCGTGGCGGACCTGAGACGGCTGACCATGTTGATATCATGGGCAACCATGCACTTCTCCGTGACGTGCTGCTTGTGGCCGCTCGTGCTTATGACCGCGTGCCACATAAGGTCACGTCCAACATCATGGAAATTGCTGAACGCGTCGGAGAGCTGTAGTATCAAAGCCGTTATGCAAAGTCTTTATTGTGTTTGACTCATATTTTCTTCATGATCGTCGCATACTAACCTAGATACGGGCATCACCAATGCGTTGGGAAAGTGATCTGAACTTGCGATTCCTACAAAAAATCTGCAGATAGTAGAAGAAGTGCAGGTGTCTTCGCTTGCCTTAACTCTCAGCTTAACTAGTGTGCAATTCCCAACAGGATTGATGCGATCTCATTCTCAAGCAAGAAAAACAATCACCGACGATAACGTCCACCACGTCGATTACGACGGTTGCTCACACCACCAGGTGCAGCTGACGGAAGCAAGTGATCCGCCTGGTAACGTTGCTGCGGTTGGTGACGCTGCATCATCTCCTGCGGTGGTGGCTGCTGCTGCGCAGCGCCATAATTTTCCATTGGCCTACTCCCGTCACGATGCTGGAACTCGCCTTGGGGTGGTCCATACTGTTCGTGCGGATATGCAGAGTAATTATCGTGACGCAAAGGCTGCTGTTGCGGTGGCTGATGATGATAAGGCGTCTGCTGCTGATGGGGTAGTTGCTGATAATGCGGAGCGTCGGGAGGCATGCCACCTCTGCGCAGACCCGCAGCACCATACGGGGCGGGACCAGAACCATCTACTGGAACTGCACCAGGTCCTAGGCCTGCTCCATATCGCGACAGCGAAGGATCAAATGGAGGTCCAAAGTCTTCTCCACCAGCGGGAGGGCCTCCCATAGACTGCTGCGGCATCTGATGGAATGGCTGGTGTTGAGGCTGCTGGGGCCAGCCGCTACCTGCAGGACCACCTCTAGAAGGGCCTCCTTGTCCTACGAATCGATCGCCATCTCTAGGATGACCATCTTGCGGCCCGGGAAAGTAAGCGCCTGAAGGCTGCGCGTAATCATACTGCTCCTGCATGGAGCCCTGTTGACCTCCATACTTACCAAAGAGTGGCGCATTTGGTGCTCCATACGGTTGCTGCGGTTGCGGAGGTGCCTGCATCCGCTGCTGCCCGTGATCATATATTGGCAGCTGCTGCTGTTCCTGTGCTCTAGGCATAGCGTGTTGTCCAGGGTAATCGTAACGTGAACGCTGTTGCGGAGGAGCAGCAGTGGCAGCAGGAGGGCCAGATTGCTGTGGCTGAATGTCCCACTTATTCGATCGGCCCCGTCCGCCACGCGGATCACGATCTCGGCGACGGTTATTCCCACTGCCTCCCCAACTACGAGATCCACGTTGGTCTTGCCGACCATTCCCACTACTGCGAAAACTACCACCCACACTAGAACTACGTGCAGTAGAGTGGCTTGAAGTAGTAGAGTCTTGGCTGCCTCGTCTTTGCCGCACAGGAGGGTGGCTAGGAGATGAAGAAGATGCCTGAGAATCCTTCTTGTTAGCAGCGATTGCTTCAGTAGACACCCGCTGATTCTCGTCACGCCACAGCTTCTCGGCTTCCAGTATCAAACTTACAATTGCGCGCTAGAATATAGCACCAAAACACCAGCGAGCAAAGTTCATCAATACAAACACAAATCAGTTAGTCAACATCGCTCCACAGCAAGCCATCGCACACAAAAATTCCACGTCTAAACGGCTAAATTCAGTGTACCTGCAGGTTAATAATCTCCAAATCTGTGGTCACCGACACTTCCGGTATCTTCATGTTCTCAAGCGAAATCTGCTGTGCCTTAAGAGCATTGGCGCGGTCCATGGAACAAATCTCAATAAATTGCTGCTGGGACATCTGACAGCGGCTCGAAAACTCGCGGCGCTGCTCCAGGTGCTGCGTCTTGAGTACGATGAGCCCACGAGGATCTGAAAACCCGTGCTGCATTTCCAATGCTACGTGGCGGGCAAACAGCTCGCTGCCTTCCTTCATCTGCATACCAATAACCTCCTGCCAACGGTACAGCATCTCCCTGTCGCGAGTGCGCTGGTTGTTTTGCAAATCGCGCACGCCCTCAAATACAGCACTATCTCCCAACACGTCGGATAAGCGCTCCAGAAGTTCGTTGCCAATCTGCTTCTGAGCCTCACCATCTGCCACACTATCAAACAACAAGTGGGGGCAACTGGGAATAAACGGCAACGTCATAGGAATGTGCAAAAAGTATGCTGCAGGCTCCGCAGCTGATGCACTCGCGTCGAGTACAGTTGCTATATCTTGCTTGGCGCGTTTAGCATCACTAGCAAGTAGTGGGTCTGATGGTCCCTGCTTCGCTGCCTCACCACGATCCACTAAGCGACCTACACTTTCCACTGCAAGAGGAGAAGGCGTTGGCGTAGGAACTGAAGTGACTTCTCCGGTTTTGTCAACAAAAGCTACCACTGGGTCTACAAGCGACACTGTACTAGTTCCAGTGCTTGTAAGATCTACCGTCTGTGGCTGTTGAGGCTGTAATGTGCTCGGAATAGTCGTCGATGCAGCCGACGGAGCACTAGATGTCACAGAAGTTACAGCAGAAACTGCAGTAGAAGAAGGAGGCGGAAGTACTGCACCAGAAACTGCGGTAAGCGTCGTCCCTGGCTGCGGAAACTTATCCGGCATAACCTGATGCTGCAGCATCGATAGAGACAGCTTATTGTCCACGTGGGTACACACAAAGCCATAGAATCTCGCCCACACGGCCGTTTGTTCCCGTTCCGGGAGTGTATGCAAAGCTCGGATGAAAATCTTCCTGGCATTGGAATATTTGTTTCTCTGAATGCAAAAGTCTGCATATTGCAGCCACAAGGCCGTACTGCAGCCTGCCACGGGGCAATTCACAGCTCTTTCAAAAACCTTTGTAGCCTGTTTAAACTGTCGTAACTCCATTTCCAGAGCTGCATACTGACGCCATAAAGCCACGACAACACTGCTGCCTCGAGCAGCATTCTTTGGATCGCTCTGTCCCTTAATGATTGTAACCCAAGTAGCCAATATGTCGTCCACATCCTTACGTGCATCAGATACTTTTTCGTACTGTGAGAATTAGTAGAAGATAAGAAAAACGTATAAAGTTAGAGGGGTTGACGGAATAATGTACTTTCAGGACAATTGTATCGGCTACAGAGTGACTTGAAAGCTGAAAAAAACGCAGAATTGTAGAAGAGATAAAGGGGAGAATAAGACACGCACGTTACTAGAGTGAATCATCGCTTTTGCACGAGCTACGACGCCTGTAGCATCCCATGTCGAAATATCGTCGGCCATTTCGTTTTCTTTTGCGTTTTTAGCCAAAGGCGTGATGGCCAATCGCATTGACAGAAACATTTCTAAATAAGATGATAGAAATGAGTACATGACTCATTATTTGATTGAAAAGAGAGCCCTTTTTTTAAGTACGTCACCGTGTAGTTTGCTTTTAGTGTTGAATTAAAAAAAAACTGGAGTAGGCAAGCAAAGACTAGTATTGCAGTGAAGCAAATCGAGCATTGTGCGATGTTTGTAAACGGTTATGAGTGAAGAAGATACTGGAAACGCCTCAGGCGTAAAGTTACTGAATCGTATATGCTGCTTTGTCATCCATTCTTATAAGACTCAGCCCTCGAGTGATACGCTCGCTAGTAGTATACGTGCACAACTAACCTCACACATGCCCGTCAAAATGCGCAAAGATGTCAGCTTTATTAGATCAGTTATCAAAAGCCGAGCACGCTTCTGATGACGGCCGCAGCATTTTATTTTGCACGAGGTAGAAACATACTTTTTCGAGCACTGGAATCATCGCTCCTCCCATAATTTCAAAAAATATAATGGGTTCTAGGATAGAGTCTCATGCCTAGCTGATACTGACGACATGAATGCAATCTTTTACGGCGCAGAAGCTGCCTCCAAGACTCTACTGAACGAAGAACATGCGGTTTCATAGAAGCTCAAGCGGCTAAACTCGAGCAGTAAAGCTCGCACGACAAGTCGCCCATCTTCGGTTATCTTCCGCCTATGATATGGTATGATTGTTTCAATTGTGTTCGATCGCAGTGAAAGCGCTCCTGTATGACAATTATCTATAAGAGTAGACCCGAGCAATTCGGCTAATATCGTTACGGTTTTGTCGAAGACGTTGTCTTACCAGAAGAAAGTCTCTTCATCATCACGTTCGGTTCAATCTAGGACTTTAATGACAGCGTAAAGGCCTTGTCTTGATTTCACTAAGATGACCGATCGAGTTAACTGGGACTCTCTGGTACAGGTCCTGTAAAGATCGGGCTGCCTTTGTAGTGCTCTATGCGGACACCCATGCGAGGCGACCCTTTTCTCTGCTATCAAGCGATACTTTGTCAGACTATGTACGAAGTGGAAAAATAAACATTCACAACATGTAGGACGATCCATTTGTCTGAAGTACTATCATGTGGAGGATAAGCAGCCGGGCGTGGAACATTCGGCTGGGACCTCAGCATGCGAGGCATAGACAAAGCTTGAAAAATTCGCGTGTTGCATAAAAGAATCCTCGCAAACGAATACGGATTCAAAGATTTCAATCCCGCGTGTAAACGAAAACAACTGCGACTTGTAAAGGTAGAGATAAGTTTGGAGCCGGTGCAATACAGGTACTCTGTACTAACTCGACATTGTAAAAATCACGTAGTTGAGTTGTTGAAAGAGTCCGGTAGTGAACATTATTTCAGCGTCGTAGTAAGATCGACTACGGTGCTGGAATAATGTTCGTTTAACCAGTAGGTAGTTGTGATAGATAATGGCTTCGCCCTTCAGTTTAAGAGTATCGACTATTCCTCATGGCGTTTGCGATGATACTTATGCTATAGTAGCTAGGCGTGCAACACCATGAAATGGGGTACCATTAACACTCCCGTTATAAAAACGACTACAACGGAGTCTTTGGGCTCTCTTCAATTGTTTTTACCAAAGTGCCTGCTAAGGAAGTTTCCAGGATCGTCGCTGCTTCACAGCACAGACTTTTCAACACGACGATATGTCAAGTTTACTTACCAATGTGTACAATTCCAACAACAGAATACTCTGGCTCATAGGGCGCTCCAAATGAACCAGAGTATTCTGTTGTTGGTGTTTTCGCGTTGCTGGTTCAGCCAGATCAGGTCAGGTAACAAAAAGACGTGTCGTTATCTTGACTGCTTTGCGCTCGGTTTACATTAGATTGCATTATACGTCTAGGCCGTGCAATAGGCGCATTGCACAAAAAAGCTGTCGCGCTTTGTAGTCGCTCCTTTAATCGACTTACGAACCCTCTTCTACACAAAACGGTTCTTACACACCACCTGTAAGCTTCCTCATCATTTAAATATGCACAACTCCGATCTTATGAGGTTTTCAATGAACGGAAATCCACTTTGATCCCTGGCGCGTTCGCTACGAAACGAGTGGAAATGCACTAGCGATAACACGCGCCGTCGCTTCCAGCGGATCTTGCTAATGTAAATTTCGTTACCCCACCCACCCCATGCAAGTTAAGATTGGACGACTTGTTGTTGTTTCATCGTGACCCGCTATACAGTTGGTAACTAGCCCTAAGCGCCATAACTATGATCCAATGCACATCCAAACGAAGAGCGTCCGTCCGGATTTCGTTGCAGTGTTGAAGCGTCTATAGTTTATACGTTCATTCGTCAACTTGCTTCGTTTTCACGCTACTGTCACTTTTCTTAGCGTTGCAAGTAAAAGTCATGATCTCTATTAAAAAAAGTTTGATCGTGTCCGCGGTAGTAGTGGCGCTGATCACAACCACAGGGGGTGTGGACGGTTACGATGTCGTCATGTCGAGTAAATTGACATACAACATGAAGAGAACGCTGCGCATTGCTGCCGAGGAGGTAGCGGAAGAAGAGATGGCAGATGATTCCGAGTGTGAGGAACTTGAAATGGCCGAGACGGATTCGGAATGCGAATCTCTCGATATGGCTGAAGGCGACAATACGAAGACAAACAATGCGAACCAACCCCCTAGTGCGGTATCGAGTGGTAACACTGGAGATTCGTCTCAAAAGCAAACAGGGGAGACCAAAGATGGTGGTGGTGATGCTAAAGAGAAGGGCGTCTCTGGCGATGATGGTGAAGAATGTGATGATTCGCTGGAGATGGCTGATACCGACTCCGAGTGTAACTCGCTCGATATGGCGGAGGATTCGAAAGGAGCATCATCCGACCCGGCCAGCGCCGCCAACAACGCTGGTGGGGCACAGAACGGGGGAAACGCTGGTGGGGGACAGAACGGAGGAGAAGCCGGCGGTAACACCTGGACGCCGCCTTCGAACACTGGAGGCAACGCTCCTACTACGAGCCCTGGTAATACGAATCCGGGCAATGTCAACGAAAATTACAACGGTATGACGTCGAACATTGACTTTACCGCGGTCCAAGGCGAGATAAACCCTGGTACTGTGGTGCCGCAGTAGAGATTTGGCTCACCTTCCTTTTACGTGATTGTAGCGTAAAAGATCAAGTGCCCTTAGGCGCACGATTAATGTTGAATATATGTGGAGTTGATCATTTGTCTGGTTGGTTTACAGTGAAATGTGTTTCAAAGGTTCCGCGTCTTTGTGTCACAGTGACGTAACTTCCTTTCAAGAATAGACTAGAGTCTTAAACTTTTTTATCCTCGATATCATGTAGACAGCACAACTGCAGATTATTAGCGGCTCATACCCATGCTAAGCGGCGCAAATGACGTTGACAGGAGGGGACCCGATTTTCGAGTGAGCAACAACTTGCAAGGCAAGAGACAAAGTTACACTAGACAAGAAACATCATAATATGAACGTCTACTCGCTTACAGTATTGACGCGTAGACTCTGTAATGGATTATGGTAAGCTCAATTTGTACTACTAGAGAAGCATCGTTTACAGAAGACTGTGTCATTGTATCATAGGATAGATTCGTTTGTTATTAGATTGATAAAGAAGCATGGATCTCGGATCTTAGCCGGGTAGAAAGCCAAATATTTGGATCTAGTCTTGATACGGACCTTGCACTTTGCCACTGATGTAGCTCTTATCAACGTTGACAAAGTTGAGTGATGGTTCCGAAATGGTGGTGCTTTCGTCAGCAGTCGTTCCAGTAGGATCAGATGAACCACACGATTCGTCAACATCACTACCAACAACATCGATCGATCCACGATCCTTCTCACCGCCAGCAATGTCAAATGATCCACAGTCCTCTTCAACTAAACCTGCATTTCCAACGACTTCGCTGTTTTCACCGCCAGCAACATCAAGAAAGTCGCAATCTTTGTCATCCTGATCGCTACCAGTAATGTCAAGTGAACCGTCATGTCCGCTACCAGCGACAGCGGTAAAGTCGGTGTGATTGTAGCCACTGTCGAAGTGGCCGTCGTTGCAGTTGGGGTAGAGGTAGTCGTCGTTGGCACAGCAACTGAGACCGGCGGAGGAGAAGTAATCGTCGTTGGTCTAGCAGCTGAGACTGGCGAAGGAGAGGTAGTCGTCGTTGGCACATCGACTGAGCCCGTCGGAGTGTTGTACTGTTCCATTAATCCATTGCTGGTTGAATTTGACGGAGAGGGAGAGTGCGAGGTGAGGTGAGAAGGTGAGGTATATTTAAGTAAGCGTACGACCCATTATGTCCTGTCGACAGGAAACAGAGTTACCGTGGCCGACTTCTACTTCAAGTATTAGGTACAACTAGTCTGCGGACAGCCGAGCGCCGTCGCGCAGAGTCTTGTCCCGAGATGATTACGTTCCGTAACGTCATCGCGGTTCCCTGGGGCTCGTGATTGTCAGCTTGAGAGACCTCCTGTAACTGGGCGAGCCCGTTACATAATATTGACACTTATGTGAAGTGTCAGTAAAAATATTATTATAACTAATAATATTTGACAATATTATCTTTTCTTATAATATTGTTCCTAGATCTCCTTGAAGTTGGAGATGCCCTATCATTGGTTGATATGGGCCATCATATCAACCAACGCGCTGACCAATGACCGATGGACGCGCGCAATGAGTGGAGGGCAAGTTGTCAACATACATAGTTGTAGTTTAATATAGTTAACATAGGTTATAACAGATTAGTTTTATTAGATAGTTAACTATATTAAATACAGTTTTTCTTTTCCTCTACTTCTAAGCGTATCGTTTAGAAGTAAAGCTTCCTCTGCCTCTTGTGTAAGAGAGGTAATTGAGGCACCTGCTTTCACTGTAATCAGTGAAAGTAGGCTATAATGTGATCAGTATAGTCGGAGGGTGCCCCATTACACCTGGTAGCACTTCGTGGTCCGTTCAGAGACCACCGCACCATCCGCTATGGAATCAGCGGGTGATGATTTCCGCCATTTGAGTGACCTCGAATGGAATGCGGTTCAGCGTATGGCTGAAATTATCGGCAACCCTGCCGTTGATGCCATGTTGCTCTCTCTTAGCGGAGACGACCAACATGCAACCATCGCCAAGTTCATACAACATGAACTTGACGAAGTTGTAAAGAAACTCACCTTGCTACAGGAGCAAGGTTCTCAACAGGTTGACCTGTTGAGAGAACAAGGCTCAACAAGCTGACTTGTTGATGCAGCAGGGTGCTCAACAGTCTGAACTATTGAGACAACAGCAGGCTAAGGTGTTGCTGCCGGGTCGACGTATACACGTCGACCAGAGTCCTTGAAGATTGATGTCTCTAAGTACAAGGCAGTCCTTGTTAAGATGGTTCCTCGAGCTCGACGATGCCATTGAGGCTCGTCGCATCGATGACGATGCGATGAAGGTCAAGTTTGCCATGTCAAACTTGGCAGGACTGCCAAAGCTTGGGCCTTAGGGCTCAAACTGCACAACCCATACGTTTTCCCAACGTATGACGTCTTCAAGGCGCGGCTTAAACACACGTTTGAACCGCCTCGCGCCGAATTCAGGGCTCGGGCTGAGCTCCTGGATTTAAAACAGGGTAAGCGTGATATACACGCTTACGCCCAACACGTACGATACCTCGTTAGCTGTATCGTACTGAACCCAATCGATGAACACACGCAGGTTACTGTGTTCATCAAGGGTCTGACAGATGGTCCTGTTAAGACCCACCTGTTCCGCTTGAAACTAGAATCGCTGGATCAAGCGATCTCTGCAGCGGAACAGGAGGACTTTAGCCTGCAACAGGCTCACGTCCACTCGGGGTCCTATCGTCCACCGAGACGACAGGAGGGCGGAGGTCTAGAACCAATGGACCTCTCCTATGTAGAGAGCGAGCGACCTCGCTCTCCAGGGTACAAGCGATTGCAAAAGTGCAATCGCTGTCAGAAGTTGGGCCACTACGCTTATGAGTGTAGTGCCCCACGCCCAGTGTCTCGTAACACTGGGAGTGACGATCGATCGTCTGCCAAGAAGGGCCAGAGACGTGGGTCCCACGTTGCTAAAAAATCGCAACAACGTGGTGGACCATCAAAAAACGGTCGGGGTCAGTAGGGACGGAGCGCCCTACTGATCCAGCAAAGTCAAGAGAGTTCGCGGGACTCTTGACGAGGGTTGCTCCCAACACACAGTCACTGTGTGTTGCCGCTCCCAGTGATGAGGTATCCCTCATCACATTGAAGATCGAAGTGACAAAGAACATGTCACTTCGCGCCCTAGTTGATTGTGGGGCTTCGAACAACTTTGTTCGACGCCAATCGCTAGATGATCGTAGGCTCAAATATGTTGAGTACGAGACCCCTCCAACGAGGATGACGGTGCGCCTTGCAACTGGCGCATCCGTAACAGTAAAGAAACGTGTAGTGGGAATTCACTACACGCTTGAAGGCAAAAAGTACGATGATGATTTCATCGTACTTGATCTGGATGACAAATTTGATGTCATCTTAGGATTACCATGGCTCAGAAGGTACGAGCCATGTGTCAGCTGGCAGCATCGAACCGCGAAGATGCCTGCCGCTTGTTCATCAGATGGCCATCTGATGAACGTCTTGGAGCGTTCACAAGCGTGTGAATGTACTACGAGTGAGTGTGATGGCCTCACTTGTGGTTCGGTCGTTAGTACGACTGCACAAGAACTCAGCGTGATAGACAGTCACGCTGTGGAGCAAGTTGCCGGCGGCTGTGCACAAGCACAGGCAGCGTCGAAGGTCCACCACTCGAATAAGTCGAGCGGACCGGGACATGAATGCATCGCCTAGAGAGCAGCATTCACCGAAGAGTAAAACGTTTGCCCAAAAGCGGCAACACTGTGGTGAAGTGCTGTTTTTGTGATGAGGAAGTCCCAGAATCCAGTTGAATTCGGAGTGTAGACCGTGGGTCAGGGACAGGGTACCAGAGAGACAGGGGCCTTGAAGGGGAGCGACCGTTGGCGGAGAACAATTTGCAGGACCCACAGAAGAAAAAATCAGCATCAGGGTACTGGTAACTGGTAACGAAGGGAGTTGACCATGGCCCTTCATTAATCTACCCGGCCCCTCGTTGGTAGACCTGGATCCCTCGTTGGTAGACCCGGTCCCTCGTTGGTAGACCTGGGTCTCTCATCGGCCGACCCGGATCCCTCGTCGGTCGACCTCGGCCCCTCGGGGTTCAACCACTCCGGACCAGTTAATACAAGGATCAGACTAGTCGACGCAAGGAATCAGAGCTTCAGGCAAGGATAGAGTAAAGGATTTAGAAGGATAGGACTATATTAAATACTACTCAATTTGAGATCTACGTGGCACGACTCTGTCACCCAAGAAGAACTTGCTCTAAGTTACTCACTGTTCCGGGAAGGGATATATTTTGGCCCCCCGTCGAAGACAGTTGTGTAGCGAAGTTCAAGTGCGAATAGAGCTCCAGTATATACTTGGCCTGTGAGCTCGTTCGAGTAGCAACACCCCCCCCCCCCAAGACCCGCTATCGGAAGCGGTCTCCCTCACCTCCAGGCCCGGGAGCAACGTAAAGGTCAGGTGGTTAATACCCCTGAAACAAGAAGGAAAAGGCCAGGGACGACAAGCTCCCTGAAGAATTTGGCTCTAAGTCCACTCTCGACAAGGTCGATCGAGTGGCCACCTACCGGCCCACCGAGTGAAGCATATCCACTCGAGGCCCCACAGGTCTACCTCCCTCAAGGCAGACGTCTACATCTTCACCAAGTCTCCGAAGAGTGCAACCCGCCAGCCGACGGGTACACAAGGTGAGAGAAGGTCCATACGCGGCATCGGGGTACGCCCTCCGACAGTCGGCAGTCCGGCACAGTGAGTGGTTTGGGGTCTCATCATACAATTTTGAGAACCCACTCCACCACAATGGTGCGCGTGCTCGGATCTTCGGAAGACGCGGGATTTCGCCGCGAGTCCCAAGACGATAAAGATGTTCATGTCAAGATGGAGCACAAGACCGAAGAGCCACTGGAAGACCGATCGCCAGTGACTCAAGAAGAAACAAACAAAGGATCGAAGGACCGACCGGGCCTTGGGAGGGGCCCGGTCAACATGGTCGAGGTTGAATTCATTGAAGAAAAACCTAAATACCCTCCCTATGTCCTCGTTGAGGACACCTTGGGTCATGACGCCTATCATGATCCAGAGGACCATCAGCCGACGGTGAAAACCGAGAGGCTAAGGTCCCCGAAAAAACAACAAAACAAGATCGCGCAATCCAAGCCGACGAAGTTCCGGATGAAGGCACCCGGAAACACCAAGTCGATAGGCCCCGAGAAGGCAGGACTGGCGTCATGGACAGACGCTGATGTCACGAGGGCCTACCACCAACGCAAGCTGAACGCGTTCCTGGAGAGCGACCCCGTCGCGAAGATCCTGGAGATCCGGCAGCTGGGTCAACTCACTGGGCCGGTGTCGACCCTGCCACGGCTGCACTCCGTCACGGACGCGATCACAGCGCTGGTCACCATGCTTCGTGAAGCGAACATGGTCGCAGGTCGGTTCGACCCGGACGACCTGCTATCCCTGGGGTTCGACAGAATCACAACAACGTTAGAGCACATGCACAAGCGTCTGTCGATCCTGGTGGGTACCACACCAGCAACGGAACACCCATTTCTGGTGACACCTACACACATGCGGTCCAACGACAGCCAGATGACGCTTCAGGACATCACGGTGGGTCCCCACATGTACGGAGCCGCCGGCCACCCAGGGGCGAATCAAGACCCATCTCAACACCGGATGCCAAGCGGCCAGAGGGAAGCAGCACCGTGGTCCCCAGGATCGTCCTCAACTGGGTCGGTCACTATGATGCCCCTAGGCCCTACTGGAGCGGCGCTGCTCCAGGCCCGAGCGCGCAGCGCGGAGCAAGAACCACGTGGTCTCGAAACGGCGACGCGTGACAAGAATGAAAATCATTCCAATTTTCAGCCAATGGAAAATCAGCAAGTGAAAACGTTGGAATTTGCTCTGCCCCGTGACGAAGATGCTGGGGGGGGGGGAGGGACCTACCTACCCGGTAGGTGATCTGCAGACCCTCTTCAACGCGGCGATGGCAAGATTTTTGAATGAACGCCAAGTACCGCGGGCATACCCTAACGGAAGTGTAGCAGGAAGAAGACCAGAGGCGCAAAGGATGACCGCTC